TTATATAAAGTCTTTGTGCACTTGGCAGCAAAGCCTGACAATGTGCTTTTGTGTTCCTCCGACCGCACTGTGAACAGCATTCAGAAGAATTGTCAAAGTGGGCCCATGCAACACTTATTTTGATCTTTAAGTGCCAAATTAATTAGCCGTTATATCAACTGTTAATTGTGCCTGCCAAGTTAGTTGTAGCAGCTCGTCACAAAAGCACAAATACCATTTATTACATTCTTTTCTTGGTCAAAAGGTTTCCCGACTGCACAGATTCAAAACAGCGTCAGTATCATCGACAGCTGCACTGAAAGCACCTTCTCAAAACCTGCATGGGAATTTCGACATTTATAATGTTTTATCATTGCAGCATTTATAAAACAGCACAGTTTGTTGTTTTAAACAACACACCCAGGTAATGGTAAGTCTTAAAGGAATCCCTTATAACATATAATATATATTAGAAGTATATAATTCATTTGAACGACAACCGTCTGAAATTCTAACAACATTTGTCCTCTTACCAAACTTTCTGTCCGTCTGCAGCTCTGTGACCAACAGTCAGCTGACGGTAGCAAGTTGTTTTCTCTCTCATTCCTGTCTCATAATCCATTTTTCTGACAGTTAACATTTTTCAGACTTCAATCGTTCCGAGCTCATCCTCTGTGACAGATGTAATTCTTGGCTGTTGGGCAGATCTTTTTTTGCTCTGTTTGTGCAGTAAAGACGTAGGAAGTGTTAACTCATTTTCGCTCGTCATAAATGTATTTCCTCTGTGGCAGTGGGACATGTTACAGCAGCCCCCAGAAACTCCTGCAGTATAATCTGGACTAATAAACTCTGTGAACTTGAAAATGCAAGATAGCAAGGGTACGAACAACCCATAATGCAGCATCTTGTAAACGAACGTATTTACAGAGCCACAGGAACCAACCTGGACGTGGATACATTGATAGCTGAAGCAAAACAAGGCTGAACTTCATTACCTAGTGAAGTGCATCCAACCAAATAAATCCCCTGAGCTTCTGTTTTTATGTCTCCGTGGCTTTAAAACCCTTTGCACGTTGCATGGACAAATTCCCAGAGCAAACAACAAGCCAGCAAACTGTTGTGACATTTGTTGATGCAAATCTAATATGTGACGAGGACACGACAGTTTACCAGAGCTGCAGACAGCAATACTCTCAACTGTCCAACCAACGCATTGTGCCAAACTGGAAAGTTAGCTGAATGCTCGCTAACAAAGCAGTTTGGACATTAACGACCCTGTGAAGCATAGCAAAAGTAATGTCATCCACTTATCAAGCATAAACAAAGAGACCTCTGCATCCGTCGACATCTCAGAGGTCTCTCCACCTAACTCAGACTGGCTAACGGGGCTGCGGGTGCTACTAGCTGCCTGTTGGACCATCCATAAAGTTTTATAACATTTTTACTGGCCCTGTCAGTCTCTTTACTTTGTACTAGTGGCACCATCACAATGCCGGCAGTGGATGTTCCTTCCATTAAATAGTCTCAATAGCCCTGACAGTCTCTTGTCTGCAGTCCCAAACAATGCCAGTCCAAACTCAGTCTTGCAGTGACACTGAAAGCTCGCTCCCTCTCCTTCACATGGTATAAGCCTTGAATTAGTACTGTCCATAAAACATTCTCTACTTCTTTTCTCCTCCTGTGCACAAACTAGGGACAATCTGACTGTCTCGATTCATCGTTTAAGCCACATACAGAGTTGCTGCTCAGGCGTCTGAGAGGAGATATTCACTAGGTTTGAAAAGTGTATTGGATTAGAATCATTTACTCTACTTCTAATCATTGTTTGTGCTCTAAATAAATGAAACAAATCCGCCAATCAACAAAAAGTTCTCGCTGTTAAGCCTGAGTTCTGCCCTCGCAAATGGAGTCATCACAGACTGAAATGGATTCTGTTTATTACCCCGACCTGGTTGAGACCCGGCCATTCATTGTCGAGGTGATTGCCTCATTCGGCCGAGTTAAGTTAATAGAATTTCAAATAGAGCTTTTGTCATTTTCACCAGAGCTGTGTTTACTTGACTGTCAATGCCATGCTCGCTGTCCTTACTCTCGTTGTGTTGATGTGCACGTATGCCGTAGATGGTCTTGTGTTGCCAGTGTTGAGCTAGGTGCATTGTGATGCTGTGTTGGTGTGTTTGACACATTGCAATTGAATGCAATGGGCAGAAGAGAAAATACAGATTGAGTTTAAATCCTCTTCTCTTTTTGACGCCTTTACTATTCTGTCTCAATATTGAATTTCAATGTTGAAATTTTGGCTAAATTCGATGGAACAATGTGGAACCAGGATCATTGTGTGACCAAACCTTATGAATACAACATATTTGAATTCTGTCTGTTTTTGCATGTTCATGACTCAATACACCAAGGCCAGTTTGTGCTCATATGCAGTAGGAATTGATTTTTACAGATTCTTGTTATTCCCGCATCAGAAGTATGTGGGCTGTAGCAGGAAACTGCATTCTAACAAGTTCAACAAACACGGCCCCAAAACAGGAAAGATATCTGACAAACTTGTTGGGTTCAGTGTTTTATTTTGTAAAAATGCTCTGGAATCACATCGGTACTCTGTGTCGGCCAATATGTAAAATTCAGGTAGCTGTTGGACTGCTATCGGAAAACGTTTGCACTCAGATGTCGGCCGAACTTCACCCTTGAGCTTCTACAAATTTTACCCAGCTGCATTTCTTTTTGCTCTTCCAGTTTTTCTCACTTCACCTCCATCCAATGTTTGACCCATGTTGCTACCCTCGCTGATCGGCTCCAAATATTCTAGTCCGTTAAAGTAATTATTAATAAACAGCTGCCCGGCAGTAGCCAGGGCTGCGGAGGCTGGCGTCGGGAGTGTGGGTTTTGGCCTTTCTGCGGGTGATGTACTTTCATCACTTCATCGTGCCAAGAAGGGCAGCTCGCTCTGTCACTCTCACCCCCTCACCACCTCTCACTGTCTGAGCTACAGTGAGAATAGCGTCTGTGTGTGATGTGTCCGCAGAAGGTAGCACCTGTACTCTGCTGCAAGCTGCTGGGCCCCCGGGTTGGATGTTATCCCTGCTGGTACCAACACTTTGCATGCACACATACACACACCTACACACCTGCCCTCCGTTCCTGCTGTTCCCCTCATTCAAGCACTTTCTGCTCATTCATATTCTACAAGGGATTCCTATTTTGCTGCCTTGATGCTATTCCTTCCGCGGTTGTGAGAGCATGCACCTGTGGGGTACACACACACACACACACACACANACACACACACACACACACACACACACACACACACAAACACACGCACACGCACACATTTGTGGACTGAATTTGCCTGAGTGCCTCATATTTAATCTTGAGAGAACCGGAGGCTGGAAGCATTCACATTTGCCCCCTGAGTTCCAGCTGTGAGGGAAATAGTTGCAGGAGATGCTAGAAATGGAGAAATATCATTAGACTGCTATACCACATCAAACTGGGACTTTATTGCCTTTCACAAAGAATAAAACTGAACTTTTTATATCATTGTAAATATTTTGGGAAACAATTTTTGCAAGCATCAGTGCAGAAAACCTGGAATCTGCTGAACCCTCAAGAGCAGATGTGTTGGGACACGGTTTGTTGAAATGAGGTGGGCTGTCGTACAGATGAGCCCTATGTGCTTTTCTGTAGGAGCCGTGTGTGTATGTGCATGTGCAAGCGATTCTCTGCGCTATTATACACTGCAAATGACAGTGAAACCACCTGAAGCCTACATCAGCTTTCCACTGCTACATTTTCCTGTCAGCAGGTTGACTCACACACCTACATGTGAGTCAGCTGAGTTTGACACCACATCCCTGTGGACAGACACACACACACACACACACACACACACACAAAGACTGTACTCTCACATCCACACGTAGCAGTAGCAGCTCAGAAGATAAATAAATACTTCAGAAGTCGAGCTAAAAATGGAAATCATTGCTTCACCGTGTCCCCCCGAGTTCACATGTTTTTACTCTCTCTATCAAAAACACTTGAATTTCATTGTATTTCCAGGTCGATAGCTTCTTCTGTCTTCCGTGTGTTTGATACTTTTTGTTTCAACCGGAGATATTTGTTTTCTTTTAGTTTCTTTCTTCTGTATTCTCACATAAAGCTCCTCCTGATAATTTCGGGAGATTTTCTAGTGCATGCCTGAAAGCATCTTTAAGAAAATCCTGAAAGAAGATGCTGAAGTAAGTGTGTTAGGTAACAAGAATAATGTGAACACTTTCAATTATTGAATTAAATAATAATAATAGGCACCTGCCTGTGGAGATGAATAACACACCAGCATGCAGAGACAGATGAACGGACAGCTGCCTGATTAAAGACTTAAAATCTCTTTTTAGACAAACTCTCAAACCTCTGCTTGTTTTTCCTTCTCGAGCGGCACCAGAGAAAGAACAGCAGAGAGGCAGATACCCCCCTGCTGCTCCGTTTGAGGAAATGTGTCTCCCAGCCCAGGAGCTATGAGACCAAACTAGAATACAGAGTAGGGAGTCAATCATCGGGGTGAAACATTCACTTTAGTCCAACTTGTAAACTTGCAAACTTCACTTATAAAGGAAACATTTGTGAAGTCCGTGGCCCTGCAGGAGTCATTCGGTGGTGTTTTCCATCAGCCTGCCTCACATTCTGTTACCTCCAGGTAGTCAATGCCCTCATTTCCCCACAAAATCACCTTTTTTCCGCAGCCTGTGGAGAACAGGGTTATGTGCTGAACAGCAGAAGTGTTGTGGGAGTTGATGGACAACGAAAAACATTGTCAGTACCAGGGGAGTGAAACAGGGAAGCAAAAAGCATCAGGACAGAATTCCTGTATAAGCAAAACCAGGAGTACGTGTGTCATGGAGTCTCTTTTCCACTGTTTTATAGCTGATAAATGTTTGGATCAAGATCCGTCTGTGACTGATTTACAATCATAGATAAAGCTTATTTAAACTGCCACTCTCCCTGAATCTCAGGCAGCGTCGGGAAGCCTGAGTCGTCTCTGCATGTCTTGCACCGTTGCCTCGCTGTTGAAAACAAAGACTCTGGAGTGACAGTGAGTCCTCAGCCTCAAGGTAGTATTTCACCACTGGACGGCGTGAAGCAATAATCTGGATCCTAATCTAAGTCGACTGTCAAACTGTCTCCAGACTTTGGAGAATTTCCACTTATCCTTTTTTTTTTTGTTAAATAAAACTTTTATTATCCTGGTGAAACCACTCGAGTGCATTTTTCCCTGCAGACAAAAGAAACACATGATTAGCAAAAAAGAAAGTTCTTGTTATATTTGAAACTGTGTTAGAGAAAGTTTTGGTTACATCTTCTCTTCAATGTCTTCAGGTCTGATTTTCTTGTCTCGCTTTATAGACTGACCTGACAGTACACGTTCAGAAAAGCAAAATGAGGCTCCAAGGTAAATCCCCAGTTGCTGTTGTTTTGACAGCTGAGGCTAAAACATTATCAGGTTGAACCACTTCGGAATTTTTGCATTAAAACTTCAAAAATAGCAGCAAAAAAGTCAAAATGTGACATTTAACTTAATGTCAACTCGCTCAAACTTTTTAAAAACAATTGCCATCATCTCTTTTTCCGATCGTGCTCACCTCCCCTCTGTTTCACCCAACCCTGTGGCACTGTTATTTAAAAAAAATGTATCTCCCGGCATTCCCCGCGGTGTTTCCTCTTTAAATATCTCAGATTCACTAATTCAGAGTGAGGCTGATCAGGGTGTCAGCGGGGCTCCGGGGCAAGACAGACACATGTAGCACGCGGCGCTGTGCAGATGCTCGGCAGACGCACACAGATGCAGTCAGGCAGCGGCTAACATTCCTCTCGGCCATCTGGGAGCTTAGATGTCAGGATGCAGCCCACTCATTAAATCGCGCAATTAGACGGCTGTGTGCGCACGTGGGCACGAGTGTCGTTTCTGGGGTCACGAGAAGTGTTTTTTAATGAGTGTCATTTAATTTTTTGGAGCGCCGGTCTCCACGCTTCCTTTGTCTGGTCACTAGGGTTTCACATCAAAGGCACAAGCAACATCAGCGACGACTTCAGAACAAAATAAAGAGTGTAATTCTCTCATTATGCTTTGCCACTGCTTTTTACTACCAATTAACCAATGCCGCTCACATGCAGAACAGTGCACGCAGTCGTGGCCACGCTCACGTTCCTGACAAATATTCCCGAGCAAGTTTCTTCACTGAAAGCGTGAGGTTATATTCAATGAGCTTCTGAGACCGCTGGCTGACTAACAGAGGAGGGAGACGCAGCGCAGCGTGTGACAGACACCCAGCACCCTTCCATCAATATTAATATAGATAGAGCGAAACAGTGACTGCCCACTTTTAGAACGGCTCTGCTTCCAGAAGTAAATTTAATTTCTCCATTGATGTTTTAAACTTCTTGTAAAAAGAGTTTTTAAGCCGAGAAGAAGCTGCGAGAATAATCGAGACATTTGATTCGTAGCAAATAAAATATTGGGAATAAAAAGGCAAAGAGACAGGACTGTGTGCATAATTAATAGTAAAGGAACTACGCATCCCATAAACCTTTGAGAGCCTGCAATCCTCACTACACTCCGGTACATGACCTGACTCTTTGCTGGGTGTCTCCCCCTCTCTGCCCATTTTCAGTTTAAAAATCCATCCTGTCAATAAAGGCGTATAAATGCCCAAAAGATTTTAAATAAATTATATATATATATGTATGAATACATATTAAATCACATAAATGTCTGTTGTAAAAATCTGTTCTTCAAGCCCTGCTTCGCAAAATCAATTTTTCTTTTCCACCCTAAAACGTGGCAGACTTATTAAATTTCACCAAAATGTCAATTCACAAGTTGTCCCATTTTATTTCTCCTGAATAATATTTTCTCTCCCCCTCCCGATATTCTCTGGAGCATCTGACAGACAATATGGGGCTCAGTGAATTCCTGAACTCATAATCCAATTTCATAATTCACAATTCCCCTCTCCTGCCCGCTCGCCAAGCCGAGAGCAGCCGAAGCACAGAGGGATATGTGTTCTGACGTGCGGACTGTCAGCGAGCGCGAGGTTAGAGGTTTTGTACAGCTGGCTGCTCTGACTGCAGAATACACTGAAGGTCTGAAAAAACTTTATTTCTTCAGGTGACAATTGCAGGTTTCTTATCTGCGCTTCTTGGAGTTCTGATGAGAGCGGTTCAACTCTTCAACCCCTCGAATGTTGAAAAGCTTTTTCAACTAGTGTCAGTGGCAGAGGCAGGCTTCTTAATTCCGGCACTTGGCAGACAGAATGACATGAGGGTTTTGTTTACACTCTTACTGCCATTTAATTATTTCTAACAGTCAGCCTGGTTCTCCCTGGAATCCCATTCCAACAACATATTTGTTTGTGGGTGACTTTACCTCATAATTCCTGTTGTGTTTTTCTTCCTCACGAGCATATTAACTCTGCCCACCCCGTCCTCTCCGAAGCTCTACGAGGCCCTGGCTTCTTCCTTTGGCTCTGAGCTTGTGTGTCACGTCATTCATTCATGGGTACACAAGCGTGATATTGAATCACACAAAGAAAGAGAGCTCTGATTTCCCCGCTGGGTTTGCCCTCTGTGGCCCCTCACCCGTCAACCCCCACATTGGATGGCACAGAGATGCAACTGACGACCAGGGGAAGCAGGATCAGACAGCGACACTGCTCCTGTAGACGTTTCATCACCCGTGTTTATTTTATTTAAAATTCGATGAGATAAAAGTCCTGTTAGCATGGGCTTAAATAAATGTATAAATAAAAGCTTTAAAACCCTAAAAGTGAAAGAACACCTATGATTTTTTTTCAGAGGTGGGACTTAATATAGAGATTTTGCCATATTGCTGTAATATTTTGATAAATCTGGCTAATGCTCTACTACCTGACTTTTCATTAGCCGCTCTAAAAACAGTACTTGCCATTGGCAGTACAGCTGCTGTTTTGTAGCAGAGAAGAAGAAGTGTTTTCATGAAAAATTGCAGTTTTATCTCGTTGATGCCAGACCTGACATTTCCTGCAGCATCGGAGGCCTTTCCTCCGCTGGTATCTGCATCCGAACATCTCTGAGTGTCCCCACACTTAGATGACAGATAGAATATCAACTCTGGCTCTCCTGCATGCACGCTGGGAAGGCAGAGGATCGTTCTTGTTTTAATGATTTCGTAGATTTTACTTTGCATGAACACAGAAATAATGCATTTATTGCTTCGCTGGTGCACGGCTGGGTCACTCCCAAGAATTAAATCAAAAACCACTACTGCTCGGTGGCTCCAGCATGAGATAAAAACTCTGTGGAAGCTCTGAAGCAGCTTCTGCCTTTTTGTACGCTACATAATGAGAAGAGTACCACTGTGCTTCCGCTGCTGTTTTGCCGGCTTGTCAGCTTGATTAGAAACCCCCATCATGAGAGGAAGGTGCTACTGTAACTGTTCTTGTGTCATACTACACACGCTAATGTTCCGATTTATTCCATCAATCAATGGGGACTTGTTTCTGCATGTGGCACTTGTTTTTTTTCCCCCTCTCTCTCTTTTCCTAGCTCAGTTTTCTGCGGAGGTGGTTTGCAAACCTATCACTCTGAACTCAGAAGAGCTGCAATTCAGATGGGAGCCGGGCGTTTAATGAGATCCTGCCCACCAGAGGCGAACTCAGGCCAATTCCACTGATGCAGAAGAGAGCGTGATCTTTAAGAAGTAGATCTCCCCGGTATCATTTCTTTTAAACACACGCACCAATTAACCCTTGAGTGCATTTACTCAATATATTCTTAGATGCAAAGACTCGTAGGAACACAACAGTATGTTGAGATGCTGCCTGTTTAGTGCTGTGTAGGTAATTACTTAACCCTGACCCAGGGTGGCAGGGAGTCAGACAGGATCTGGATTTACAGTGGACGTGTGTCATCTTGAAATAAGCGATGAAGCAGCGGTCGAGCTCGAAAGTGGGAGCTGGTGATGCCCTTGACGCTGGTGCTGCAGACGTTGGGACAACTTTTAAAACTACCCTGACCCTAACACACACACACACACACACACACACAGAATGTAAGTCTGATAATGATTACCAATGTGCCTGGGTCTGAAGTGGACTAGAGGCCTCAGGGGTGTGATTCCCTCTCCTTTACTCTCAACCCTTATCACACACACTGCTTCAGAAACGTATTGTTACAGCAGGGCTGATATCAGCTCTTTCTACTTTGCCGAGAGGAGAGAGAGAGAGAGAGAGAGAGACAGAGAGACAGAGAGAGAGAGATGACCCAGAACCATCTCTTCTCATTCTCATTTTATAAACCCGCTGTCCAACCTAATGTGGATGAACTTAAAGTCGGGTAGGTGTTAGAAGTGCTCCGTCCACAGCACTGTTTTTAGATCATTCTCCTGAAGCCTGCAACACACACCGGGTGCCAAATCAGGGAGAAAAATGCTGAAGGGTCCCATTTCTGCGTCTTTGGCCGCTCACGACCTCTGCCAAGTCTACAGAGCGAAACTCTGCTGTGCTGCCTCTGTACGTGTCAGAAGCAAGAGTTGAAACAAACTCCAGCTGCATTTTAGAAATGCATCCTATGTTTTTTTATGGATGTTTTTAATGATGTTTTTAAACCACATTTTTTTCTTTATTGAAATCTTGTAACATATTCTTTTTTTGCATTTCCACCTTTTTCCCAGGGAGTAAGTCCCAGATCTTGATGAAAAAAATCAGGCATATGTAGGTAACTGATATCTATGAGTATTTGCTATTGGTGGTGCAACTTTAACCTCATTCTAGTTTAAGATTCTATTGTTGTTACATCCTTTTATTGTCTGAATATGTTCTGTTTTCAAGTTTCTCTTCTTTTTTAAAACTTTTTTTGGGCATTTCTGTTGTGTTGACAGGAAAGTACAAGTGTGAGTTAGGGTGAGAGAGAATGGGGGAACACATGCAGCAAAGGGCCGGGGTCCGTTGCAGGAGGATTCAGTTGAATATTTGAACTGTAAAACACATTGAGCTGAATATTACGCTTTGTAAGTGCAATATAAATAAGTTGTATTATTATTATTACTAATGATTGCTCAGTTTGCGTGGCAGCATACATGACACGTTCTTTCTCTCAACGAGATGTGTCTGTGTGCAGCAGCTCAGCTGGCGCCAGGATCATTACAGGCTTGTTTGCTTGGTATTTGAATTTACATTTGTCAGAATTGTTAAATGGAG